TCTAGACGATAGTCTTGACAGTTTCATAGCGATATACTTGACAGTTTCATAGCGATATACTTGACAGTTTCATAGCGATATACTTGACAGTTTCATAGCGATATACTTGACAGTTTCATAGCGATATACTTGACAGTTTCATAGCGATATACTTGACAGTTTCATAGCGATATACTTGACAGTTTCATAGCGATATACTTCACAGTTTCATAGCGATATACTTGACAGTTTCATAGCGATATACTTGACAGTTTCATAGCGATATACTTGACAGTTTCATAGCGATATACTTGACAGTTTCATAGCGATATACTTGACAGTTTCATAGCGATATACTTGACAGTTTCATAGCGATATACTTGACAGTTTCATAGCGATATACTTGACAGTTTCATAGCGATATACTTGACAGTTTCATAGCGATATACTTGACAGTTTCATAGCGATATACTTGACAGTTTCATAGCGATATACTTGACAGTTTCATAGCGATATACTTCACAGTTTCATAGCGATATACTTCACAGTTTCATAGCGATATACTTGACAGTTTCATAGCGATATACTTGACAGTTTCATAGCGATATACTTGACAGTTTCATAGCGATATACTTGACAGTTTCATAGCGATATACTTGACAGTATCTAGACGATAGTCTTGACAGTTTCATAACGATATACTTGACAGTTTCATAGCGATATACTTGACAGTTTCATAGCGATATACTTGACAGTTTCATAGCGATATACTTGACAGTTTCATAGCGATATACTTGACAGTTTCATAGCAATATACTTGACAGTTTCATAGCGATATACTTGACAGTTTCATAGCGATATACTTGACAGTTTCATAGCGATATACTTGACAGTTTCATAGCGATATACTTGACAGTTTCATAGCGATATACTTGACAGTTTCATAGCGATATACTTGACAGTTTCATAGCGATATACTTGACAGTTTCATAGCGATATACTTGACAGTTTCATAGCGATATACTTGACAGTATCTAGACGATAGTCTTGACAGTTTCATAGCGATATACTTGACAGTTTCATAGCGATATACTTGACAGTTTCATAGCGATATACTTGACAGTTTCATAGCGATATACTTGACAGTTTCATAGCGATATACTTGACAGTTTCATAGCGATATACTTGACAGTTTCATAGCGATATACTTGACAGTTTCATAGCGATATACTTGACAGTATCTAGACGATAGTCTTGACAGTTTCATAGCGATATACTTGACAGTTTCATAGCGATAGCCAGCTCCTCTCAACCTACATATAGAATACAACGTAACCAGTGCCAGCCGCTCTCAACCTACATATAGAATACAACGGAACCAGTGCCAGCCGCTCTCAACCTACATATAGAATACAACTGAACCAGTGCCAGCACTCTCGAACTAAAGATAGAATCCAAGGTGACCGCAGCTGTAACTCTGCTAGATGGGAGATAGTTTGGGAAAATAAAATAAAAGAATAACGACACGGCGACAACGTGGACGCCTCAGACTACCTTCAGTACAGCGCTGTCTTGGTATGGGATTATGGGGGTCAACACCGACCGGTGCTGGGAGTAAAGGGGTGGGCGTCTATATTAGCCCAGTCTCAGAGTATGGGAGAAACATTTTCCCTATGGGGCCAACACTGCTCCAGTTTGGGATTATGGGGTCAACACCGTCTCGTGCCCGGAGTAAGGGGTCAATACTATCCCGGTCTAGGATTATGGGGACAACACTGTTTCGGTCTGGGAGTATGGTGTCAACACTGTCCCACTCCCAGTGTTCGAGACCTGTCCAGACCCACCTGAAAATGCTGACAATGTACTCCGACACCGTAAGATGTATTCCGCCGACAGAGAAGCATCTCTCCTGTTTCAGTCTCGCTCATAACAAAACTGTTTGACATACATCGAGACTTATATCGGAGACTTGGCTTGCACGATAGCTTTCATTGAAACTGTTTTAAGTTTTTCTGATCTGAGCATCAAAGACGAAGTCGTCAGTCTAAAGCTATTTCACTCAGATCACATTAAACCAACACTCCCCACTCAGATAACGTTAGGCCAATACTCCGCACTTAGATTACACTGGAGTTATATTGGTCCGCTAAGATCACATTAGAACAACATTCTCCCACTCAGATCAAATCAGACCAATACTTTTCTACTCAGATCACATTAAACCAGTACTCTCCCACTCAGATCACATTAAACCAGTACTCTCCCACTCAGATCACATTAAACCAGTACTCTCCCACTCAGATCACATTAAACCAGTACTCTCCCACTCAGATCACATTAAACCAGTACTCTCCCACTCAGATCACATTAAACCAGTACTCTCCCACTCAGATCAGACAAATACTCTCCCACTCAGATCAGACAAATACTCTCCCACTCAGATCAGACAAATACTCTCCCACTCAGATCACATTAAACCAACACTCTCCCACTCAGATCACATTAAACCAACACTCTCTGACTCAGATCACATTAAACCAACACTCTCTGACTCAGATCACATTAAACCAACACTCTCTGACTCAGATCACATTAAACCAACACTCTCTGACTCAGATCACATTAAACCAACACTCTCTGACTCAGATCACATTAAACCAACACTCTCTGACTCAGATCACATTAAACCAACACTCTCTGACTCAGATCACATTAAACCAACACTCTCTGACTCAGATCACATTAAACCAACACTCTCTGACTCAGATCACATTAAACCAACACTCTCTGACTCAGATCACATTAAACCAACACTCTCTGACTCAGATCACATTAAACCAACACTCTCTGACTCAGATCACATTAAACCAACATTCTCTGACTCAGATCACATTAAACCAACACTCTCTGACTCAGATCACATTAAACCAACACTCTCTGACTCAGATCACATTAAACCAACACTCTCTGACTCAGATCACATTAAACCAACACTCTCTGACTCAGATCACATTAAACCAACACTCTCTGACTCAGATCACATTCAACCAACACTCTCCCACTCAGATCACATTAAACCAACACTCTCCCACTCAGATCACATTAAACCAACACTCTCCCACTCAGATCACATTAAACCAACACTCTCCCACTCAGATCACATTAAACCAACACTCTCTCACTCATAACACATTTAAACAACAATCTCTCACTCATATCACATTCAGCCAACATTCTCTCACTCAAAATACATTCAACCAACACTCTCCCCTTCAGATCTCATCAGGCAAACATTCTTCCACTCAGATCACATTAAATCAACACTCTCCCACTATCACATCAGACGCTCTCATGCTCAGATCACATCAGAGAAACACTCTCCTACTCTCATCACATCAAACAAACACGCTCCCACTCTGATTACATGAAACCAACACTCTCCCACTCTCATCACATCAGACAAAAACTCTCACTTACATCACATCAGATCTGTTGATAAAGAAATACATTTTTATGGTGATCCCTTTAAAAATAAAGTGCTTTAGATTCGCTCAGAGATAGCCAGAATGGGAGAGATCCAGGATTAACATATACCAGATGTAACCCTTACACTGAAACTTGCTCAAGCATTTGATTTTGCGAACGTATAAGTGGGGAGAAGTTAGGTCTAACTAAAAGTTTCGACTTTAAATAAGGCAATGTAAAACTGAGGAGTTGTAAGTTCACCACAGAAACCAAAAACGTGAGTATAACAGTTGATCACTCCAGTTTATAGTGAAGAAATCATCACAAGGTTAACTCTTCATTGTATTAGATTTATATTTGTCTTGACTGTGCTCTCTGTTTATAGAGACCGTAAATCGTTTCACGGGGATATATTTTTCGACATTGATGTTTAGCTGAGTACTTCATTGATTACTATGAATTATATCTCCCTTGACCGCGTGTAATGCTCTCGCCGTTATATCCTGCCGCAAAGACGTGTTGTTTAAAAACTATTCCCTGAGCTGGAAACGCTTCTGAAGGAAACCTGCTTTGATTCACGAAAAGCCAGGACGCGGATAACCACAGCCAAATTTTAGATGCTGTACAAAAGACCTCCCTGTAATTTTTTCGTCAATGGAGGGACCAGTACAAAGAGTGTTTGCAGTCTAAAGGAAACTAATTTAAAAGGGCTGGGTTTCATACCTTCATGTGAGTAAGTGTATTGTCTTGGCAACGGGTCTGATTTATTGTGTTCATCATGTCTTGTTTAATCGAAATATCCCAGATGTAAATATTAGGATAAAACTAATCGGGCTGTCCGACAATTATCTTCGCTTTTCTCATATACATAACCCTATCTCAAGCAGATTAGTCCACCTCCTACACTTAGATCTATCCTCCACATATTACTCTGTCACATACACATCCGTTTGTCTTCCAAACATTAACTTGTCACTGACACGTCACCATGTCTAGCACACAACAATCTATCTCAGACACGCTGATCGGTCTCGCAGATACCAGTCTTATCTTAAAGTGTACAGTCTCATCTGCATCCCTGCTCTCATCTACATCTTAGAGTGTATCATCTACACCTTAGAGTGTATCCTCTATATATTAGAGCGTACCATATAAATCTGAGCGTGTATCATCTAGATGTGAGAGTGTATCATCTACACCTTAGAGTGTATCGTCTAGATCTGAGTGTGCATCATTTACATCTGAGAGTGCATCGTCTACATCTGAGAGTGTATCATCTATATCTTAGAGTGTGTCATCTACACCTTAGAGTGTATCGTCTTAATCTGAGAGTGTATCATCTACATCTGAGGGTGCATCATCTACATCTTAGAGTGCATCTTCTACATCTTAGAGTGCATCTTCTACATCTTAGAGTGCATCATCTACATTTAAAACTAAATCACCTACATCTTAGAGTGTATCGTCTACATCTTACAGTTGACCCTAGTCTTGTCTACATTATTTATTCTACATTGCACCCACTCACAGCACAGATAACCGCTCATCTTCTGGCAATGTATGTCCTCGTGTCGCTCGCGTGGACACTCTCTGCTGCTCTCCTCCACCGTGAGGTATCAGGAAGCAACTACCAGGACAGACGTGACTATCGCTATGACAACATCGTCCACACAAGCCACGGTTCTGTACAGGGACAGACGGAGAACATCCCAGTCAAAGATGGCGGACACGTCAAGGTGGACGTTTTCCAGGGAATCCCCTTCGCCCGGCCACCAGTAGGAGATCTGAGGTTTAGACGTCCGCTACCTGCTGACCCCTGGTCTGGGACATTACAGGCCACCACACCTCCAAACACCTGTGTCCAGGTAAGTGAGACTGTGAGTGTTTATAAATGTTGTTTTTGTGAAGGAAATATACATTGATCAGTTAGAAGGCACGAGAAAGGGGAGGAGAAAAAACGGGAACCGTACGACCAGGAAGCACACACACACACACACACACACACACACACAGACCCACACACGCACGCACGCACCCACATACGCACGCACGTACGCACACATACACTCACAAAACACTTTTGATAGAGGATGAGTATCTCGGTATGTGCCGGAAATTATAACCAGAATGTTGATAATCAACATTATATGGACAATTCAGACTTTGTCCACGTCTCCTATCTACACTATGTGAACAATTCCAACTATGTCTTGGATCTACATTATGTGAACATTTCCAACTAAGTCTATCCTCTACACTTTGTGAAAACATTTCGAGATGTGTCTGTGACTGCCAGAGACAATATGTGTACATTTCAAAATGTGTTCTTGTCTTCCATTTACATTACGTGAACAATTCCAGCTGTGTCCATGTCTTCCATCTACATTACGTGAACGATTCCAATTGTGTCCATGTCTTCCATCTACATTATGTGAACGGTTCCAACTGTGTCCATGTCTTCCATCTACATTACGTGAACGATTCAAGCTGTGTCCATGTCTTCCATCTACATTACGTGAACGATTCCAGCTGTGTCCATGTCTTCCATCTACATTACGTGAACGATTCAAGCTGTGTCCATGTCTTCCATCTACATTACGTGAACGATTCAAGCTGTGTCCATGTCTTCCATCTACATTACGTGAACGATTCCAACTGTGTCCATGTCTTCCATCTACATTACGTGAACGATTCAAGCTGTGTCCATGTCTTCCATCTACATTACGTGAACGATTCCAGCTGTGTCCATGTCTTCCACCTACATTACGTGAACGATTCCAGCTGTGTCCATGTTTTCCATCTACATTACGTGAACGATTCCAGCTGTGTCCATGTCTTCCATCTACATTACGTGAACGATTCAAGCTGTGTCCATGTCTTCCATCTACATTACGTGAACGATTCAAGCTGTGTCCATGTCTTCCATCTACATTACGTGAACGATTCCAACTGTGTCCATGTCTTCCATCTACATTACGTGAACGATTCAAGCTGTGTCCATGTCTTCCATCTACATTACGTGAACGATTCCAGCTGTGTCCATGTCTTCCACCTACATTACGTGAACGATTCCAGCTGTGTCCATGTTTTCCATCTACATTACGTGAACGATTCCAGCTGTGTCCATGTCTTCCATCTACATTACGTGAACGATTCCAGCTGTGTCCATGTCTTCCATCTACATTACGTGAACGATTCCAGCTGTGTCCATGTCTTCCATCTACATTACGTGAACGATTCCAGCTGTGTCCATGTCTTCCATCTACATTACGTGAACGATTCCAACTGTGTCCATGTCTTCCATCTACATTATATGAACGATTCCATCTGTGTCCATGTCTTCCATCTACATTACGTGAGCGATTCCAGCTGTGTCCATGTCTTCCATCTACATTACGTGAACGATTCCAGCTGTGTCCATGTCTTCCATCTACATTACGTGAACGATTCCAGCTGTGTCCATGTCTTCCATCTACATTACGTGAACGATTCCAGCTGTGTCCATGTCTTCCATCTACATTACGTGAACGATTCCAACTGTGTCCATGTCTTCCATCTACATTATATGAACGATTCCATCTGTGTCCATGTCTTCCATCTACATTACGTGAACGATTCCGGCTGTGTCCATGTCTTCCATCTACATTACGTGAACGATTCCAGCTGTGTCCATGTCTCCCATGTAATTGGTTGAGATATATTTCATAAAGTAGTTTTCTTCGTCTGCTTTGTTCTCCCTGATAGTGGTCTGTAGATGAGAAGTGTTCCATTTGGTCTAGTTTGTAAATAGTCGTGTCTTCCATCCGCAGGTACTGCGTAACGACACAGCGCCATTTCCCAGACCGCTGACCCCTGTCAGTGAAGACTGTCTCTACCTGAACATCTGGAGACCAAGATGTCCGGGTACCGGTGGCAAGTTAGCCACCATGGTGTGGCACCATGGAGAATTGTTCACCTTCGACTCGTCTGTTACAGATTTGTACAACGGCTCTTTTTTAGCGGCCTCCCAGTGTGTGATTGTTGCCTCCATGAACTACAGGTAAACTTTTGTTTGATCAAGTATTACAGGTAAACTGCTGTTTGATCGAGTCTTACAGGTAAACTTTTGTTTGATCAAGTATTACAGGTAAACTGCTGTTTGATCGAGTATTAAAGGTAAACTTTTGTTTGATCAAGTATTACAGGTAAACTGCTGTTTGATCGAGTATTAAAGGTAAACTTTTGTTTGATCAAGTATTACAGGTAAACTGCTGTTTGATCGAGTATTAAAGGTAAACTTTTGTTTGATTAAGTATTACAGGTACACTGCTGTTTGATCGAGTATTAAAGGTAAACTTTTGTTTGATCAAGTATTACAGGTAAACTGCTGTTTGATCGAGTATTAAAGGTAAACTTTTGTTTGATCAAGTATTACAGGTAAACTGCTGTTTGATCGAGTATTAAAGGTAAACTTTTGTTTGATCAAGTATTACAGGTAAACTGCTGTTTGATCGAGTATTAAAGGTAAACTTTTGTTTGATCAAGTATTACAGGTAAACTGTTTGTGACAATACGCTCGGTGACTCCAGAATGTCTTTCCTTAACCTACTTTTATTCCTTTGTGTTTCGAAGTATAAAGAAATAAATGGTTTTGGATACATCCTTAATCTAAGTAGGCGACGTGAACAAACATTTAATTTTCAGGGACTGTTGATAATATCAACCACTGAGACTCTTTCCCAGATGTAAAGTGTTAAGGTAGTCTTTGTGACGCCTGTGATTCTGCCCAGCCCAGACTTACTGTCTGCAGATTTGCACACCATCTGTTGGTGTCAGATATTTATCTCCTAGCCAGACCATTAGGAGTAGATAACTCCGGCTAATTGTGTTTAATTCCCCCTGAGGTTACCTAAACTGGAGTGCCGGTCAGATCGTCAATATTGACACAGGGAACCGAAAGTGTGGGCAGAAGAATTGACAAAGTCGGATTTTATTGTGATGACAGGTGAAGTAGACTGGAGGTGTGACTTGGCCTATTAGCTTTGACCAGCCTAATTGAACCTGTAGAAGGTGACCGTGGGAATTTAAACAAGTGTTGTAGAGCCCTGACTGACAGCGAATAAACTTACCCACAGGGAGGAGCTGTGATATCCTTGAATGAGAATGATTTTAGGCGTAATGAAGGAGGAGCTTAATAAAAGTTATAAAGTGGTGAACTCTAGGTCCGGTAAATGAGACGCTGTCAAGCACATGCCATCTGTTGGGCTTAACCTAAGCTTGAGACAGAACTTTTGGCATTGTGGTATCATTTTCCAGGTAAGATCGAAATTAGGTTCAAATCTATATTTTGTGATAGAAATCTAACTGTATTTGCTCAAGTGTGTCTTCATCACTTTGTAGTACTCCTAGGCGGACATTTCTTCATTCTCGTAGGGCACTGTCACATTGCTTTATTTCCTATTTGATAGTGTCATGAATGTTTTTCGTGCACATGTGTTTCAATGTTGTAAAACCTAAATGTTGTTGTTGCCATTGAAATTGAATGAACTATCATGTTTTTGAAATCACAAGCGTGAAGATAACTTTGGCAATCTTTTCACGTGTGGTTAATGTGAGTCTGTATTACATACAGCTAACACACTGAAATGTGTTTAACTCTCGGGAGGCTAATGCGGAGATTGATCCCGGAGAGTAAATCCACGAGATTTGTTATTTGATTCGCCTCAGAAATGTTGTTAGCTTTATGGGCGCGTCCCTTGTTCCAAGCATAGATTCCAGAACTGGTTCTGTCTGACTGATTGTCATTTTGAGTCTGTACGAGAGATGGCACCTGACGTAGAAGACTTGACTATCATTACAGGACGTGTAGAGGAAGGCAGAAGATGTAACAGTTGGAATGTGAGACATAAGCCCTTCCAAATTGGACAGGAGTGAATGTGAGCATGAGAGAGAGATAAAATGTTTTATTTAAATAAACATGCTTGATGTTATTATAATATACATGCTTAGTGTACATCTAGAGCAGATACTACAAATATGCGCTTGTTTCTTCATTCTCCAGTTCCCACATTGGGCAGGGACTAGTAAGCATCCATTCATTGCTGACCGTCTGAGTGTAACGACCTGCTTGAAGCAGTGAGGACGACAAACTGGGAAAGAATAGACAGGGTCTCAAGCTGAGAACTGTCCGACGGTGAATTCTCCTACTAGAAACTAGAAGCTAAGTTATGTACAACTTTAATGTCATCTATAACATCATCCCAACTCTACTAGCCTAATCAAGTTCATTTTAATTTCGATTTATTCAAATAAATCATGTTTGATGTTGGTACAAACTAGTTGAGTAAATTGTGTACTTAGGTTCAAGTGTCTTTGTGCATATTAGTTTACTTCAGCTAACAAATATTTAAATCACTTGATGGGGGCTTTTAAGTAATGACAGGAGAGGAGAGCAGTCAGAGGGGTTAAATGAGCACCTGGATTATATCACAGTGGGTGTATCCAGATATCTATCTATCCCTTCTCCTACTCCTGTGGATACAAGTACAGCAACTTTCATTTCATGGAACGAGCCACACGCTGTTTTCTTGGCTATCCAGGACTGTCTAGGATCAACATAGCTTAGATAATAGTCCAGTTTCTCACGTGGGTGGGCATTGTTAAGGTTCAAACCCACACCCTCACTATATCAGTGTATTTACCCACGTGGGCGCGCGACACTGTTGTTTGATAAAATATTATAGGTCAAATGTTGTGTGATCAAGTATTAGAGGTAAACTGCTGTTTGATCAAGTATTAGAGGTAAACTGTTGTTTGATCAAGTATTAGAGGTAAACTGCTGTTTGATCAAGTATTAGAGGTAAGCTGCTGTTTGATCAAGTATTAGAGGTAAACTGCTGTTTGATCAAGTATTAGAGGTAAACTGCTGTTTGATCAAGTATTAGAGGTTTGTTTGTTTGTTTGTTTTAGTATCCAGAAGCCATGAGTTGTTAACCCTTAGGCTGGGTATTATAGATATCGCAACCTTTCGGCCTTGATTCCATTGTATTTACCGTAAATCTGGGAGAAATGTGGCTTTTCTGCCTCCCCCCGGAAGTGAACCCGGACCACAAGGAGTTCGTCGACCGGTCACCGCGCAGTCAGGTTTAGCCAACTACGCTATATAGCCGGGCAAGTATTACAGATAAACTGCTATTTGATCAAGTATTACATGTAAACTGTTGTTTGATCAAGTATTACAGGTAAACTGTTGTTTGATCAAGTATAACAGGTAAACTGTTGTTTGATCAAGTATGGCAGATAAACTGCTGTTTGATCAAGTATTACAGGTAAACTGTTGATTGATCAAGTATGACAGATAAATTGCTGGTTGATCAAGTTTTACAGGTAAGCTGCTGTTTGATCAAGTATTACAGGTAAACTGTTGTTTGATCAAGTATTACAGGTAAACTGTTGTTTGATCAAGTGTTACAGGTAAACTGTTGTTTGATCAAGTTTTACAGGTAAGCTGCTGTTTGATCAAATACTACAGGTAAACCGTTGTTTGATCAAACACTATACTGTGGTTGGTCTTTTTTGTAAGGCATCCTGTTCTTTGATCATGTATTACGGTTATACTGTGGCTTGGTAGTCTATTATAGGTATCCTGTTGTTTGATCAGGTCTCCGCACATCCTGTATCAACTCCCCCCCCCCCCCCCCCTCCCCCTGTGCTGGCCGGACTTTGCCTCTCGTGCCCGCTACCATACTATCCGCTACTGCCCTCATGCTAACCTCATTGAGAAAAACGACAGTTGGTAATGCACAATACAATTAACTTAGGAAATTCTGTATAATTCAGGCACTTACAGTTGAGTTTGGTCAAGAATTGACATCACAGCACTCGTGGCATTCCCATGCATGCTTCGTCCTCATCTTCAGCATCCTAGCGCAGAGTCCCAGTACTGATGGTACCGGTCACAATCAACGACTTAAAGGAGTTGCATCTGCTGCCATTTCAGGGACACGCCTGTCATTGTGCAAAGGGCATGGCATATCCTGAATCAGATGCTTTTTATACTACGTGGTTGTTACGATGTTATGGTCATAAGCTGGCAATTTGTCTGGAACCGTCCATATTTCAGTAGAATCGCTCACACACTTGACCACCTCATCATAGTCTGCATACTAAATATTTTCAAAACAACCATAAGTGTTTTCTGGTTTACACGTGTATGAGTGTGTGTAAAAGAGCAACCAAGAGGTTTTGAAAGAGGCCGGAGCCCGAAGGCAACTTATCACAGACATCAGAAGGAGACAGTCATAATTTTTTTGCCATGTTATGAGAAGAGGGAAAATAGAACTTGTGACCACTGGAAAGATCTGTGGAAGCAGGGATAGAGGAAGACAACGAGAGAAGATGCTTGACAGTCTTGTTGCATGGCATGGAGGTATGTCGGCACACGAACTGATACATGCTGCAGGAGATCGTGAATTATGAAGAGGCATGATCGCCCACGCCAGTCGGCAAGGCATCTGATGATGATGAGTGTGTGTGTGTGTGTGTGTGTGTTTAGTTATGTAGTGATTCTTTGTTCGTATTTGTCGGCATCTGTGGTTTAGGCGTTGCAAACGTGCTTCATCATAATGTCGAGGTGCCGGGTTCGATACCAGCTGCCGGCGACTTGGCAACAGACCGCCTTGTGTTGGTTTTGACAGTGTTATCGAGAGCAGCAGTGGTAACGACCTTGCAGTTGCAATGGCAAACTGCTGAAAAACCACAACAGCCCCACAATTCAGTGGTTGATTCTGTAACGTCCTGGAATGGATACAAAACTAACTTTGTGTGCATGCATGTATGCTTATGTCTTGGTTCAGATGTTGTTATATATATTTCCAGATGATTCCAAATGGGTTGGCGTGGGTGTGTGTGCGTCTGTAATGTCTGTGTATGTGTTGTTTGCGTATATGTGTTAGTTAGTTAGTTAGTTAGTTAGTTAGTTAGTTAGTTAGTTAGTTAGTTAGTTAGCTAGCTAGCTAGCTAGCTAGCTAGCTAGTTAGTTAGTTAGTTAGTTAGTTAGTTAGTTAGTTAGTTAGTTAGTTAGTTAGTTAGTTAGTTAGTTAGTTAGTTAGTTAGTTAGTTAGTTAGTTAGTTAGTTAGTTAGTTAGTTAGTTAGTTAGTTAGTTAGTTAGTTAGTTAGTTAGTTAGTTAGTTAGTTAGTTAGTTAGTTAGTTAGTTAGTTAGTTAGTTAGTTAGTTAGTTAGTTAGGTTATCATCATTGCACTCCGGACATGTCCATAGGTGCTCAGATCCTCCCCCCAGTATGAACACCAACGTCCGATGGCTAATAGTACTAGTTCTATGTTGATTAACAAGTCTACTGGTGTGTCTGGTGTGCGTCTCTTGTTTCGCTATGCCGAACTTAATTCCCAAGTCTGCCATTCTGGCGATTCATGTGCATTCACTGCCACCAAATTCCTCTATCATTCTCATTTCTCTGAGGGCATTAATAATATCAGCATGATCCATAGGCTGACCGTCGGTAGTGATAGCGGATCCAGCCAACCTATCAACTTTTTCATTTCCATTGTGTATATGTGTACGTTCATTTATGTCATTTAATTAACAAACCAATATTTTCCAGACTTGGTGCCTTTGGCTTCCTGTATCTGGGCATCCCTGAGTCTCCCGGAAACATGGGGTTGTTGGACATCACCCTGGCCCTGACTTGGATCAAAGACAACATGAGAAACTTTGGTGGAGATCCAAACAAGATCACTGTTTTTGGCCAAGCTTTCGGGGCTGACATCGTATCGCTGATGTTGCTGTCTCCGTTGACCCGGAACCTGTTCAACAACGCCATCGTTCAGGTAACTGTGTGACGTCACTTCCAACATGTCAGTTTCTATGTCTGTGTGTTATTTTTCCGTGAAAAATTGTATATCTCCAGGAGATCCGGTAGTGATTCCCATCCTGTCTACATCTAGGATATCTCGGCATATTGTCAGTAAACATCCATGCATGAATGACATCTCAACACATTGTCAGTAAACATCCATGTATGAGTAACATCTCGGCTTATTGTCAGTAAAAATTCATGTATGAATGCCATCTTGGCTCATTGTCAGTAAACACCCATGTATAAATGACATATCGACAAGCTGTCAATCATTAAACACTCATCTATGGATGACATCTCAGCATGCTGTCAATCATAAAAAACCCATGTATGAATGCCATCTCCCTGTGCTGTCAATCCTTAAACACCCGTGTAAGAATGATATCTCAGTGTACTGTCAATCATTAAACACCCACGTAGAAATGACATCTCGGCATGCTGTCAGTCATTAAACACCCATGTATAGATGACATCTCAGTGTGCTGTCAATCATTAAACACCCACACATGGATGACATCTTGGTGTTCCGTCAATCAGTAAACACCCTTATATGGACGATATCTTGGTGTGCTGTCAATCAATGAAGACCATATGTCCTATACTCTCACAGTTCAAATTGGTATTCGTCTTGTTGGTTTTTCTCAGCACTGTATGCTTCCGTGTCGCGGTTACGTCTCGGACATGCTTTGCCATCAAGAGGTGGATAGTAACATATAGTACGTATAGATAGTAACATGACCACGTCAGGCTGAACGAACGCTGTCCGAAAGTAGCAGGATCACGATAGCCTGAACACTGTCCGACAGTAACAGGGTCACGTCATGCTAAACGCTGTGCCGACAGTAACAGGATCATGTCAGGCTGAACGCTGTGCCGACAGTAACAGGATCTCGTCAGGCTAAACGCTGTGCCGACAGTAACAGGATCTCGTCAGGCTAAACGCTGTGCCGACAGTAACAGGGCCACGTCAGGCTGAACGCTGTGAAGACAGTGACAGGGCCACGTCAGGCTGAACGCTGTGCCGACAGTAACAGGGTCACGTCAGGCTGAACGCCGTGCCGACATTAACAGGGTCACGTCAGGATAAACGCTGTGCCGACAGTAACAGGATCTCGTCAGGCTGAACGCTGTGCCGACAGTAACAGGATCTCGTCAGGCTGAACGCTGTGCCGACAGTAACAGGATCTCGTCAGGCTGAACGCTGTGCCTACAGTAACAGGATCTCGTCAGGCTGAACGCTGTGCCGACAGTAACAGGGCGACTTCAGGCTGAACGCTGTGCCGACAGTAACAGGGTCACGTCAGGCTGAACGCTGTGCCGACAGTAACAGGATCTCGTCAGGCTGAATGCTGTGCCGACAGTAACAGGATCTCGTCAGGCTGAACGCTGTGCCGACAGTCACAGGGCCACGTCATGCGACCAACAACAACAACAACAAATTTTACACCCACATCAGGCTTCACGCTGTACGGTCAGTAAGACGACCAAATCTTCTACAGTGACACTGACACTGACACAACAGATACTACACTCCACCAAGCCACTAGGTGCCTGAATTGTGTGTATTAGCAGCAGACAACCCGTGAACATGAGTGCCACAGACCCACTCTCTGCTCCACCAACCCACTAGATGCAAAAATCATGTAGGTCACCGGTAGATGAACTCCGGACACAAATATCGCAGACTCACTGTATGCTCCAACAAGCCACTAGATGTCAATGTGACCCATAAACTGGCACAGACACATTAGTAGAACACTATATGCCGTGTGACAACCTCTGCACTGTTACACATGTCTTTTGTGACTACCTTTGCACTGTTACACATGTCTTTTGTGACTATCTCTGCACTGTTACACATGTCTTTTGTGACTACCTTTGCACTGTTACACATGTCTTTTGTGACTACCTTTGCACTGTTACACATGTCTTTTGTGACTATCTCTGCACTGTTAAACATGTCTTTTGTGATTACCTCTCCACTGTTACACATGTCTTTTGTGACTATCTCTGCACTGTTACACATGTCTTTTGTGACTACCTCTACACTGTTACACATGTCTTTTGTGACTACCTCTCCACTGTTACAGATGTCTTTTGTGACTATCTCTGCACTGTTGCACATGTCTTTTGTGAATACCTTTGCACTGTTACATGTCTTTTGTGACTACCTCTGCACTGTTACACATGTCGTTTGCGATTACCTCTGCACTGTTACACGTCTTTTGTGACTACTTCTGCACATGTCGTTTGTTACTACCTTTGCACTGTTACACATATCTTTTGTGACTACCTCTACACTATTACATAAGTCTTGTATGACTATCTTTGCATTGTTACACGTCATGTGTATATTCGACTTGAACTATTACTGCATTGTTACGTAGGCGTGATGTGACTACCACTTGACTGATATCTGACTTTTTTTCACTACCACTGCACTGTTACGTATGCGTAACGTGACTACCATTGCACTGGTATATAAATGTGATGTGAATTTCTCTGTAATGTTATATGTGACTACCTCTATACTGTTATGTGTGACTCATGTGACTATTTCTATACTTAAATATGTTGCTAAATGGCCACCTTCATTATGTTACACATGGTATGTGACTACAGTGGTACTGATATAAACAAGTGCCTCTTAAACATTGTTCCCTAGGGCGGATCTCCAAAACTAAGATTTGTTCACCGAAGCACACAGGCCTCGTTGACAGCAGCACTTGAACTAGCCAGAAGACTGAACTGTCCAACAGATAACCAAACTGCTGCTGCCCAGTGTCTGAGACAGGTTGGTTTAGCTGTTTTTGAGGTTGGTTTTAGCTGTTTCTGGGCTTGTTTTAGCTGTTTCTTGGGTTGTTTTAGCTGTTTCTGAGGTTGGTTTAGCTGTTTCTGGGCTTGTTTTAGCTGTTTCTGAGGTTTATTTAGCTGTTTCTGGGGTTGTTTCAGCTGTTTCTGAGGTTAGTTTAGCTTTCTGAGGTTGGTTTAGCTGTTTCTGAGGTTGGTTTAGCTTTTCTTTTTATTTAGCTGTGCACCGCAGAATGTGATGTGCATTGAATTCATCATTTTTTGTTGTCTGTATAAAAACGTATAATGCGAAAATGCTTTACAATACAGACAGATACAAACATTTATAAATATTGGCAGCATAAATTCACTTCACTTTGTGTTATACATTCATGTGCATTTGTGACATAAATACACTTTACTTTTTGGTACACATACTTGTGCATTTGCGACATAAATACACCTCACTTTGACCAACAGTTACTTTATGATATAAATACAGTCACTTTGTAAAATCAACACGTCGATTTATAGCATAAACACACTTCACTTTATGGCATAAAGACATGTCACTTTGTAGTATAAATACACTTCGATTTGTGACAGAAATACACGTCTATTGTAGTAAGGCTCTTTACAAATATGTATCTGTAAAAATGTCTCCTGTAGAGACACAACTGTCTGACTATGGAGATTTAATCCTGGCAATGAACTTAGTCGAGCACAGATTTGGTTACACACCAGTTCTTTAATATCACAGCCTGTTAACGTAACCATTACACCCTAGTGTACTGCCTATTAACGCTTCTATAACCTACCCATCACACCTGTTGTCCTACCCGTCATATTAGGTTCCATACGTAAACATCACCGTGCCCTACCTGAACATCACAGTACCCTACCTGAACATCACAGTGCCCTACCTGAACATCACAGTGCCCTACGTGAACATCGAAGTGCCCTACGTGAACATCGAAGTGCCCTACGTTAACATCGCAGTGCCCTACCTGAACATCACAGTGCCCTACATAAACATCACAGTGCCTTATGTAAACATGACAATGCCCTACGTGAACATCACAGTGCTGTACGTAAACATCACAGTGCCCTACGTAAACATCACAGTGCCCTACATGAACATCCCAGTGCCCTACGCAAACATCACAGTGCCCTAGGTAAACATCACAGTGCGCTACGTATACATCACAGTGCCCTACTCATCAAATCAAAGTGTCCTTCCTTCCCATCACACCCCAGTGTCTTACCTTAAACACCACAGTGTTATCATCACGTCCCTCCCATCAAAACCCAGTAATCCACCCAGTGAACCCACCCATCACATCCGAATCTCTTACCCATCAAATAATGTTGTTCTCCCATTACAAACAAGTGTTCTACCCATCACATCCCATTATCTTACTTATCACAACCCCGTGGTTCTACCCATCACATCCCATTATCTTACTTATCACACCCCGTGGTTCTACCCATCACATCCCATTATCTTACTTATCACACCCCGTGGTTCTACCCATCACATCCCATTATCTTACTTATCACAACCCGTGGTTCTACCCATCACATCCCATTATCTTACTTATCCCAACCCGTGGTTCTACCCATCACATCCCATTATCTTACTTATCACACCCCGTGGTTCTACCCATCACATCCCATTATCTTACTTATCACACCCCGTGGTTCTACCCATCACATCCCATTATCTTACTTATCACAACCCGTGGTTCTACCCATCACATCCCATTATCTTACTTATCCAAACCCGTGGTTCTACCATCACATCCCATTATCTTGCTTATCACAACCCGTTGTTCTACCATCACATCCCATTATCTTGCTTATCACAACCCGTGGTTCTACCCATCACATCCCATTATCTTACTTATCCCAACCCGTGGTTCTACCCATCACATCCCATTATCTTGCTTATCACAACCCGTGGTTCTACCCATCACATCCCATTATCTTACTTATCACAACCCGTGGTTCTACCCATCACATCCCATTATCTTACTTATCCCAACCCGTGGTTCTACCCATCACATCCCATTATCTTACTTGTCACACCCCGTGGTTCTACCCATCACATCCCATTATCTTACTTATCACAACCCGTTGTTCTACCCATCACATCCCATTATCTTACTTATCACACCCCGTGGTTCTACCCATCACATCCCATTATCTTACTTATCAAAACCCGTGGTTCTACCCATCACATCCAATTATCTTGCTTATCACAACCCGTGGTTCTACCCATCACATCCCATTATCTTGCTTATCACAACCCGTTGTTCTACCCATCACATCCCATTATCTTGCTTATCACAACCCGTGGTTCTACCCATCACATCCCATTATCTTACTTATCACAACCCGTGGTTCTACCCATCACATCCCATTATCTTACTTATCACAACCCGTGGTTCTACCCATCACATCCCATTATCTTACTTATCACAACCCGTTGTTCTACCCATCACATCCCATTATCTTGCTTATCACAACCCGTTGTTCTACCCATCACATCCCATTATCTTGCTTATCACAACCCGTTGTTCTACCCATCACATCCCATTATCTTGCTTATCACAACCCGTGGTTCTACCCATCACATCCCATTATCTTGCTTATCACAACCCGTTGTTCTACCCATCACATCCCATTATCTTGCTTATCACAACCCGTTGTTCTACCCATCACATCCCATTATCTTGCTTATCACAACCCGTTGTTCTACCCATCACATCCCATTATCTTGCTTATCACAACCCGTTGTTCTACCCATCACATCCCATTATCTTGCTTATCACAACCCGTGGTTCTACCCATCACATCCCATTATCTTGCTTATCACAACCCGTGGTTCTACCCATCACATCCCATTATCTTACTTATCCCAACCCGTGGTTCTACCCATCACATCCCATTATCTTACTTATCCCAACCCGTTGTTCTACCCATCACATCCCATTATCTTACTTATCACACCCCGTTGTTCTACCCATCACATCCCATTATCTTACTTATCACACCCCGTTGTTCTACCCATCACATCCCATTATCTTACTTATCACACCCCGTTGTTCTACCCATCACATCCCATTATCTTACTTATCACACCCCGGTGTTCTACCCATCACATCCCATAATCTTACTTATCACACCCCGTTGTTCTACCCATCACATCCCATTATCTTACTTATCACACCCCGTTGTTCTACCCATCACATCCCATAATCTTACTTATCACACCCCGTTGTTCTACCCATCACATCCCATTATCTTACTTATCACAACCCGTGGTTCTACCCATCACATCCCATTATCTTACTTATCACAACCCGTGGTTCTACCCATCACATCCCATTATCTTACTTATCACAACCCGTTGTTCTACCCATCACATCCCATTATCTTACTTATCACACCCCGTGGTTCTACCCATCACATCCCATTATCTTACTTATCACAACCCGTGGTTCTACCCATCACATCCCATTATCTTGCTTATCACAACCCGTGGTTCTACCCATCACATCCCATTATCTTGCTTATCACAACCCGTTGTTCTACCCATCACATCCCATTATCTTGCTTATCACAACCCGTTGTTCTACCCATCACATCCCATTATCTTGCTTATCACAACCCGTGGTTCTACCCATCACATCCCATTATCTTACTTATCACAACCCGTGGTTCTACCCATCACATCCCATTATCTTACTTATCACAACCCGTTGTTCTACCCATCACATCCCATTATCTTACTTATCACAACCCGTTGTTCTACCCATCACATCCCATTATCTTGCTTATCACAACCCGTTGTACTACCCATCACATCCCATTATCTTGCTTATCACAACCCGTTGTTCTACCCATCACATCCCATTATCTTGCTTATCACAACCCGTGGTTCTACCCATCACATCCCATTATCTTGCTTATCACAACCCGTTGTTCTACCCATCACATCCCATTATCTTGCTTATCACAACCCGTTGTTCTACCCATCACATCCCATTATCTTGCTTATCACAACCCGTTGTTCTACCCATCACATCCCATTATCTTGCTTATCACAACCCGTGGTTCTACCCATCACATCCCATTATCTTGCTTATCACAACCCGTGGTTCTACCCATCACATCCCATTATCTTGCTTATCACAACCCGTGGTTCTACCCATCACATCCCATTATCTTACTTATCCCAACCCGTGGTTCTACCCATCACATCCCATTATCTTACTTATCACACCCCGTTGTTCTACCCATCACATCCCATTATCTTACTTATCACACCCCGTTGTTCTACCCATCACATCCCATTATCTTACTTATCACACCCCGTTGTTCTACCCATCACATCCCATTATCTTACTTATCACACCCCGTTGTTCTACCCATCACATCCCATTATCTTACTTATCACACCCCGTTGTTCTACCCATCACATCCCATAATCTTACTTATCACACCCCGTTGTTCTACCCATCACATCCCATTATCTTACTTATCACACCCCGTTGTTCTACCCATCACATCCCATAATCTTACTTATCACACCCCGTTGTTCTACCCATCACATCCCATTATCTTACTTATCACACCCCGTTGTTCTACCCATCACATCCCATTTATCTTACTTATCACACCCCGTTGTTCTACCCATCACATCCCATTATCTTACTTATCACACCCCGTTGTTCTACCCATCACATCCCATTATCTTACTTATCACAACCCGTTGTTCTACCCATCACATCCCATTATCTTACTTATCACCCATCACAACCCATTTGTTACTACACCATCACATCCCATCCCATTATCTTACTTATCACACCCCGTTGTTCTACCCATCACATCCCATTATCTTACTTATCACACCCCGTTGTTCTACCCATCACATCCCATTATCTTACTTATCACACCCCGTTGTTCTACCCATCACATCCCATTATCTTACTTATCACACCCCGTTGTTCTACCCATCACATCCCATTATCTTACTTATCACACCCCGTTGTTCTACCCATCACATCCCATAATCTTACTTATCACACCCCGTTGTTCTACCCATCACATCCCATTATCTTACTTACCCCGTTGTTCTACCCATCACATCCCATATCTTACTTATCACACCCCGTTGTTCTACCCATCACATCCCATAATCTTACTTATCACACCCCGTTGTTCTACCCATCACATCCCATTATCTTACTTATCACACCCCGTTGTTCTACCCATCACATCCCATTATCTTACTTATCACACCCCGTTGTTCTACCCATCACATCCCATTATCTTACTTATCACACCCCGTTGTTCTACCCATCACATCCCATCAACTTACTTATCACACCCCGTTGTTCTACCCATCACATCCCATTATCTTACTTATCACACCCCGTTGTTCTACCCATGACATCCCATTATCTTACTTATCTCACCCCGTTGTTCTACCCATCACACCCGAGTGTCCTATCCGTCACCTCCCGTTTTCATAGCTGTAACATGGGGATTTTAAGGAGACAGGTGAATGACAGCGAAGAATATGAGACGTTAAAGTTCCTTTTCTGTGTGGGGATATAATAAGCCTACACCCCAGGCGATCAGGTAATAATCATTGGAATTATGAAAGAGTGAGGTAGTAATGCTAAGAGTACAGTAGTATAGTGGGCTCTGTGGCTAAGTCAATGCGAACGCTTTGTAATGCCGGGGTGCCGGGTTCAAACCCAGCTGCAGGCCATGTGCCTTGCGTTGGTTTCGACAGTGGTATCAATAAGCTGACCGTCCAGAAGGCAATGGCAAACTACTGGACGTAAATTTGCCTAGAGAAACCACACAACAGCCAGGTGTTGCTAGGGTTGGTTCTGCAACGTCCTGTAAAGGATACGTAACTAACCTTAACAATAGTATAACAACCACAACAGTTGCACAGTGTCGCAATATTTATTTTTAACATACTAACGATGGAATACATAAGTGTTGAATGTTAAATCAGCAATCGACATCACAGCACTCTGGACACTCCCATGAGTACTCAGTACCCATCTTCAGCAGCAAGAAAAAGAGTTAGAATTCCGATGGTACCAGTAACAGTCTGATTGTATATCCGTCTCATACTTCCCCTGAGTGTTGAGCGTCGGCCAGATCCCCTGGTAACTCCTCACAGTGCCATTCCCCTTAAACCGTAATGATCTATGTGCGCCTCCGCACTGTTCACTCGCTCAAAAAGGGTCCTCACAATATCTAACAATATCTAAATCTGGCCTAAAGACACTATATCTGTAACATTCTACAGCCAGTAGCAGATTCCATCACACCTACCCTTTTGTCTCACCCATCACACTACATTGCCTCACACAGCACACCTCACTGTCTCACACAGCACACCCCCTTGTCTCACCCATCACACTACATTGTCTCACCCATCACACTACATTGCCTCACCCATCACACTACATTGTCTCACCCATCACACTACATTGCCTCACCCATCACACTACATTGTCTCACCCATCACACTACATTGTCTCACCCATCACACTACATTGCCTCACCCATCACACTACATTGTCTCACCCATCACACTACATTGTCTCACCCATCACACTACATTGTCTCACCCATCACACTACATTGTCTCACCCATCACACTACATTGTCTCACCCATCACACTACATTGCCTCACCCATCACACTACATTGCCTCACCCATCACACTACATTGCCTCACCCATCACACTACATTGTCTCACCCATCACACTACATTGCCTCACCCATCACACTACATTGCCTCACCCATCACACTACATTGCCTCACCCATCACACTATATTGTCTCACCCATCACACTACATTGTCTCACCCATCACACTACATTGTCTCACCCATCACACTACATTGTCTCACCCATCACACTACATTGTCTCACCCATCACACTACATTGTCTCACCCATCACACTACATTGTCTCACCCATCACACAGCACACCTCACTGTCTCACCCAGCACACCTCACTGGCTCACCCATCACACTACATTGCCTCACCCAGCACACCTCACTGTCTCACCCATCACACTACATTGCCTCACCCACCACACCTCACTGTCTCACCCATCACACTACATTGCCTCACCCAGCATACCTCACTGTCTCACCCATCACACTACATTGCCTCACCCAGCACACCTCACTGTCTCACCTAGCAAACCCCGTTGTCTAACCAATCACACCCTCTTGTATGATTCAGCACACACCATGTCTCACGTAACTTACCCTAGTGTCTCACCTATCATACACCAGTATCTCACCTATCATACACCAGTGTCTCACCTATCATACCCCAGTGTCTCACCTATCATACCCCAGTGTCTCAACTATCATACCCCAGTGCATCACCTATCATACCCCAGTGTATTACATAGCATACCCCAGTATCTCACTTATCATACCCCTGTGTCTCACCTATCATACCCCAGTGTATTGCATAGCATACCACAGTGTCTCACCTATCATACACCAGTGTCTCACCTATCATACCCCAGTGTCTCACCTATCATACACCAGTGTCTCACCTATCATACACCAGTGTCTCACCTATCATACACCAGTGTCCCACCTATCATACCCAAGTGTCTCACCTATCATACACCAGTGTCTCACCTATCATACTCCAATGTCTTGCTCACCAGTTTCCTGGTCAGCTTGCAGGTCACTTTGGTGATCAGTTGGAGATCACACTCACATTTGTTACCAACCTTTACCTCCAGGTGGACGCTGCTGACCTTGCCTTGCAGCACCTGATCATGACGTCAACATTTGTCTACCTGACTGTCGCTACCACTGACGGGTACTTTCTGACCAAGGACCCACAGGTGTCACTGGACACAGGAGGTGAGTGGACCACAGGTGTCACTCGACACATGAGGTGAGGGCATCACATGGTCACTAGACATTATAGGTCAGTGGACAAAAGGTGTCACTGGACACAGGAGGTGAGTGGATCAGAATAGTCACAGAATACAGAGGTGAGAGGATCACATGGTCACTTGACATTGGAGGTATGTGGACCACAGTAGTCACTGGAGACTGGAGGTAAGTGGATCACAGTAGTTACTGGACACTGGAGATGAGTGGATCAGAGTAGTCACTGGACACTGGAGGTAAGTGGACCACAGTAGTCACTGGACACTGGAGGTAAGTGGACCACAGTAGTCACTGGACACTGGAGGTGAGTGGATCAGAGTAGTCACTGGACACTGGAGGTAAGTGGACCACAGTAGTCACTGGACACTGGAGGTAAGTGGACCACAGTAGTCACTGGACACTGGAGGTAAGTGGACCACAGTGGTCGCTGGACACTGGAGGTGAGTGGACCACAGTAGTCATTGACCACAGGTGTCATTGAATACTGAAGGTGAGTGGACAACAGGTGTTACTGGACACAGGAGGTGAGTGGATCAGAGTAGTCACAGGATACTGGAGGTGAGTGGACCACAGATGTCATTGGAGACTGAAGGTAAGTGGACCACAGATGTCATTGGAGACTGGAGGTGAGTGGACCACGGATGTCAATGGAGACTGGAGGTGAGTGGACAACAGATGTCATAGGCCACAGGTGTCACTGAATACAGAAGGTGAGTGGACCACAGATGTCATTGGAGACTGGATTTGAGTGGACCACAGATGTCATTGGAGACTGGAGGTGAGTGGACCACAGATGTCATTGGAAACTGGAGGTGAGTGGACCACAGATGTCATTGGAGACTGGAAGTTAGTGGACCAAAAATGTCATTGGAGACTGGAGGTGAGTGGACCACAGACGTCACTGGAGACTGGAGGTGAGTGGACTACAGATGTCACTGGAGACTGGAGGTTAGTGGACCAAAAATGTCATTGGACACTGGAGGTGAGTGGATCACAAATGTCATTGGACACTGGAATTGAGTAGATCGCATGTGTCTCTGGACACTGGTGGTGAACGGATCACGCGTTTCTCTGAAGACTAGAGGTGAGTGTACCACAGGTGTCATTGGACACTGGAGGTGAGTGGGACACATGTGTCACTGGACACTGGAGGTGAGTGGCCCAAAGGTATCACTAGACACAGTAGGTGAGTGAAGCACCAGTGTCATGGGCACTGGTGGTTAAGCTGATCACAGGTAGTGAATCTGAATACCCGTGAAAGTGTTCGGAGCGCTATGAAGATAACCCACCTCAAAGCACTTAACACTCTTTCTGCCAGCGGTGGTTTCTCTGACTAGTGTCCTGACTGTGAGAAAAGCAGTTGTCATAGTGTGATGAGATGATACATGTGATCAGACGTTCGACATGTTTGTATGTGATAAGTTGAAACATGTGACGAGATGATGCGTGTGATGAGGTGATACATGTGATGAGGTGATACATGTGATGAGGTGAAACATGCGATGAAATGTTTTACACGTTGCATGTTGTTGAGATGATACATCTGACGAGATGAGATGATATATGTGATGAGATGATACATGTGATGAGATGATACATGTGATGAGTCGTTCTACAAGTGTGCATGTGATGAGATGATACTGTCATGAGAAGAGATGATAAATGTGATAAGATGATACATGTGATGCGGTGATACGTGTGACAAGATGATAATGTGGTATATATGTGATGAGGGGATGCATATGATGATTGGATACACATGATGATATTATGCATGGGATGAGACGTTCTAAAGGTGTGAATGTTATCAGATGATACATGTGATACAATTATACATGTGAGGAGGTGATACATGTGATGAGACGTTCTACATGTGTGAATGTTATAATATGATACATGTGATAAAATTATACATGTGAGGAGGTGTTACATGTGATGAGACGTTCTACATGTGTGAATGTTATCAGATGATACATGTGATACAATTATACATGTGAGGAGGTGATACATGTGATGAGACGTTCTAAGGGTGTGAATGTTATCAGATGATACATGTGATACAATTATACATGTGAGGAGGTGATACATGTGATGAGACATTCTACATGTGTGAATGTTATCAGATGATACATGTGATAAAATTATACATGTGAGCAGGTGATACATGTGATGAGGAAATACATGTGATAAGGGGACACATCTGATAGGATGATACATGTAATAAGATGACATAAGTGATCAGATTATACATCGGATTAGTTGATACAAGTATTGAGACGTTACATGTGTTGAGATGATACATGTGATGATACATTCTGCACAAGCGTTTGTGATGTGGTGATACATGTGATGAGATTATAAATGTGACGAAGTAATAAATGTTAGGACATGATACATGTGGTAAGATGATATATGTGATCAGATAATACATGTAATGAAGTGATAAATGTGATAATAAATGTGATGATATGATACATGTAATGAGATGATTCATATGATGATACGTTCTACACGTGAGTTTGTGATATAGTGATACATGTAATGAGATTATAATGTGATAAATATTTTAAGATGATACATGTGGTAAGATGATACATGTGATCAGATGATACATGTAATGAGGTGATACATGTGATTGTATGATAAGTGTGATGAGATTAAACATGTGAAGAGACGTTCTACACCTATGCTTGTGATAGGATGATTGGTGTGATAAGATGAGCCTTGTGACGAGATCACTTATCTGTTCACAGACCTAAAGCCGTGTGACATTATCACAGGAAACAATAAAGACGCAGGTACCTATGGACTCGCCCTGGCTCTTCCGGCCACCTACAACTTTAGACGGTCACCTCCGCTTCTTAACGACCAGGTAACTGTTTCAGCTCGTTCTCTCCGCCCTGACGTTTGGTGTGTTTGCATGTAAGTAAAGGACTCGACTCTCCACCGAATGATGGGTCTGAATGATCTTGGTAACAAAAACCAACCCTTGCAGGGCCTAAATAGTTGCTTCCGTTTGCGTTGCATTCACAACCCTTCAGTTGTTTGAGTTTTAGGGTTAGGGCTAACCTTAATTCATTTAAATATATAAAAACAGCAGGTCTAACATCTACAGCTGCCAGTGTTTCAATCGGTAGAACATTATTGCTAATCTGTGTCGGAGCTAATGGTCTTCCCGCCATACGTGCCGGAAATACATCCTACTTTTACACACCATTGAGGCCCTATGAGGGTATATTGGTCAGTTCCACGATAATCCCCCCCCCCTCCCACGTTACACACTAGCTCAGTTTTGATTGGTCGACCTCCAGTCACCCGACCGTCGCACACTGCTAGGGGGTGTTCGGCAATGCCGTTGAAATCGCGTGTTGCATATTTAAGCACGCCATCGCCTTTAACACTACAAAAACATTTAGAAACTGGGTCCAACCCACAAACTCCCCTAGAGAGTGCTGCAACCAATGTCACGGGCATCTCTTTCTTGGCAGAAAAACATAAATGCAAGACAAGCCAGAAAGGAAACAACATAGCCATAAACCCCCCCCCCCCCCCCCCGGACAGCAGACGAGTCTAAAAAATTTATGAATGGAACGTGACCTAGTTCGTGAAAATAACTGGTCTATTTTTACATGCGATTATTCAGACCCATCATTCGGAGAGGAGTCAAGCCTACTGAGCATACACCGTTAATTATCTTTTTAATAGACGAATAGGCACTCGGTGGATGTGATGTGGACCATCACGCCGTCAACATTTACTTCCCATACCTTTACCTGGTACCCATTTAAGGCTAGGGCAAACTGGGGGTCAAGGTCATTTTGAGAAAAAACAAAATCTGGCTCTGTCAGGACCTCAACCCAGTGACCTTCGAACCTGCAGGCAAGCGCGATGTAGTTGTACGAGTCTGGTTCAAAATCATCCCAGTTCATTTCCCTAAACCAGTGTTTTTCCCAGGGCTGCCAATGATGTGTTTTTTACCCCCAGATTGGACGCTTGGGTTAACATTAAAAAATTTTTTTTTAAATATATCCTTACATAAAAGATGGTAAATGTTTGGTTTCGTAACGTTTGTACTTTTTAACAATCTGGGTTTGTGTGTGTGTGTGTGTGGGTGTGTGTGTGTGGGTGTGTGTGTGTGTGTGTGCGTGTGCGTGTGCGTGTGTGTGTGTTCTTTGTGTATTTCTTGGGTTTTTGTTCAGCTTAGCTGGGATTTTCAAACAAAATCTGTTTGGCAGCCCTGCATTCAACCCATTGGCCGCGGAAAAGTCCAGATAGACAGCCAAAAATGTACGTCTAATCAGCTACCCGGGGAGGGTAGGTGATTGTTGTCTTCCAGCATTGCAGTCTGTATGATAAACAATACAAGGTTTAGAATCAAACAGGCATCAATTACCAGTGGGATTTAAAAACGTTAGCTGACAACGTTATAAAGTAAAGTTCCATTTTCACGACCTGGGCGCATGGGGCATTGTGAAGAGCCCCCCCCCCCCTCCCCCATATTTATACAGACCTATCGGCATTATGTGAGTAAAGGGGTCAGCATTACGCCGGCCGTCTTTACTTCCCCATGACATACATCCTGGTACTAATTTTAGACTGGATCAACCTGCGACGCTCCATACTATGATAACAATCCACGCAGCCAGCGGTGGGTTTCGATCGCAGTACGTTGGAATTATGCGTCAGACTCGCAACGCCTAAGCCACGGTGCTGAAAGGGTTGGCTTTTAACGCTAGTCTTGCCGGGCTCTCTAGCGTAGTTGGTTAAACCGGATTGCGCGGAGACCGGGTGACGAACTCCTTGTGGTCCGGGTTCAATCCCGAGGGTAGGCAGGAAAGCCACATTTTCTCCCAGATTTACGGTATTTACAATGGAATCAAGGCCGAAAGGTTGCGATATCCATAATACCGAGCCTAAGAGTTAACAACTCATGGCTTCTGGACACTAAAACAAACAAACGCCAGTCTTGTGTCCAGGGTGAGTCGCCGTGGCCGAGCGGCTAGACGCTCGCCGCGGATCGGAAGGTCGTGGGTTCGCTCCCTGGCGGAGCCGGACTTTAAAAAAAAAATGACCTTGGCTCTCAGGTCGACCCAGCACCCAGTGGGTGCCGGGTGCAGTCCCGGGAAGTAAAGGCGGCATCACCCATCTTGTGCCGATTGTGTCTATAAAAATATAGGTCTAGCCCTATATGCCCTATGCGCCTAAAGGCATGGAAAAGGGTCCTGTAATAACTTTACTTTTTACTACTTGTGTCCAGGCATTAAATGCAATCATTTTCTGACCTTTGTATGTGCTCGAAAAACAAATATCCCTGTCTGAGTTAAAGAGAGATATTAGATTGTTGTTTTTCTTTTTGTGTGAAAAGACTCTTAGCCATATCAATAATAAAAAGAATTAAAAAACACAGAGAAATCGACACCCCCCCCCCCCCCCCAATGTTATAACAGTGCTTCGTCTTTCAGAATTAACGCTCCAGCCACGGATGTTAGATTTTCTAAGTTCTAAGCAGCAGTAGCTGTCGCAGTTTTAAAAAAAAAAACTAATTTTGTTGCATTAGATTTAACATCAACATTTATTTTTGTTTCTGTGTTTGGTTAGCTGTCACATGAGAACTGATGATGATGACTTTCAACACCACCAAAAGAAAATCACACTGAAACAAAGTGCCACTATTCAGATGAGGATCACCCGGGGATAGGTACCAGAAACCTTCTTTAACCCTTATGCTGGGTTATATTAGGGCCATCGGCAATAGCCAAGGCGGGGCTTTAAAATAACAACAAAATTACGTCAGAGTTAAGGAAGCACCAAATGCTCCCTTAGACAATGTTGTCACGTCTTGATGGGCCGTGAGTTGGGGGGGGGGGGGGGGGGGGGGGGAGGTTGAGAAACACTGACCTAAACAACCAATCAGCTGCACAGATCTCTACAGCTGTCATGTCCCACGTCAAATGTGAATGTACACGTTGTGTACATGGTCACAAAGAAACTGCCCTTGTCTCAGTCATGAGGTCTGTCCTCAGTCACAATATATATTTATCCGTGATGGTGGGTCTCTTCTGTCTCGGCAAGGGAACATGCCATCTTGTACGGATAGGTTACCCACAATCCAACCGGTCGAATTCAGATAGTTTAGAAATAGACTGCGAATATTTCACGCGGTGTCGATTATTATTGGTTTGCTCTGTAAGACAATATATAGTGTTAACTTTGAATCCGAACACCTCGAAAATCGATCAACCTAGAATCCGAACTAAATTTACTAGTGTTTTGCCTCGAAACTTGTACGCCGCCTTGGAGACCGAACGCTTGACACGGGCCGATCATGAGACTGAGCTGACAACACCATAGCTTTATCACCTTCGCCAGCAGCAGAAGAAAGACGTAGCAGAAGAAATTTATTCCGGGGAGGAAGGGGTGAAAGCGGGAAGGATTAGCAATCTTTTGACTATGTGGTCGAAAATGCAGGAATTTGTTTAGCGGCACCCTGATAGAGTCCTTAGTTAACGTTATAAGGCGGCACTCTGATAGAGTCCCTAGTTAACGTTATTAAGCGGCATTCCGATAAAATCCCTAGTTAACGTTATTAAGCGGCATCCCTGATAGAGTCCCTAGTTAACGTTATTAAGCGGCATCCCGATAAAATCCCTAGTTAACGTTATAAGGCGGCACTCTGATAGAGTCCCTAGTTAACGCTATTAAGCGGCATTCCGATAAAATCCCTAGTTAACGTAATAAGGCGGCACCCTGATATAGTCCCTAGTTAACGTTATTAAGCGGCACCCGGATAGAGTCCCTAGTTAACGTTATTAAGCGGCACCCTGATAGAGTCCCTAGTTAACGTTATTAAGCGGCACCCGGATAGAGTCCCTAGTTAACGTTGTCAAGCGGCACCCTGATAGAGTCCCTAGTTAACGTTATTAAGCGGCACCCTGATAGAGTCCCTAGTTAACGTTATTAAGCGGCACCCGGATAAAATCCATAGTTAACGTTGTTAATCGGCATTCTGATAAAGTATCTAGTCAACGTTATTAAGCGGCATCCTGATAAAGTCCCTAGTAAACGTTATTAAGCGGCACCCTTATAGAGTCCCTAGTTAACGTTGTCAAGCGGCACCCTGATAAAGTCCCTAGTTACCGTTATTAAGCTGTATCATGGTAGAGTCCCAAGTCAACGTTATTTAGCGGCATTCTGCTAAAGTCCCTTGATAAAGTCCCTAGTTCACATGGTATGGTTACAGTTCTTGGGTGCTTTCTATATTCTGTATTTTTCTATTTGCAGAGAGAGAGAGAGGGAGGGAGAGAGAGAGAGAGAGAGAGAGAGAGAGAGAGAGAGAGAGAGAGAGAGAGAGAGAGAGAGAGAGACCAACAAAGTAACAGACATTATAAACAAAGCTTGGCGCGTGAGACTTACTTTGATGGCTTTCATTGATTAATGTTTGTTGAAGACACTTTCTGGTCTGGCAGTATTGTTTGTGATCGCTGTTATGTCATTAGAATGGTCTACAACGCAATTACTTCGTGTGATCTTGACAACTGGCTCGTCTGAAAATCAAACAGTTTCACTAATAAAATTATTTTTTGCTGTATCTTTCCATCCAGGATCTGGACTCCAGCCTGACGGTCATCCTTGGAACATTATTCAAACCTGAATTTATCGCTAGGCTAATTGTGGAGCTGAAAATGTTTTACAAATACAGCATGCTGAGACAGGAGGCGGGAAATCCCAGCCTAGCCTTGTTAAATTTAGTCACCAATGACGCTTTCTTTTATTGTCCCAACCGTCGCTTGGTCGCGGCCTACGCCAACACGTCGCAGAATGTGTACCTGTATGCCTTCAACCATGCCCGTGACATTACCACACTGGACCCTTGGGTTGGGGCACACATCGTAGTGGAGGTGCCCTTTGTGCTGGGCACTACCTCACCAGACTACCCAGATTTTTCTCCCAGGGAGACCAAACTGAAGCAATCGGTGATGAAACTGTGGGCGAATTTTGCTAAATCTGGGTAAGCTAACAATGGAAGGTCTTGTTATAGGTGGACCAGGTCTAGAAATTGGGCTCTCCTAGCAGATTTGGACGCAAGCGGGACGGCTTCGGTCGCTTTAGTGGGAGTTCTCTCCCTTGGCCGCATTCAAAACAAGTAGCGGAAAAAGTCACGAATCAAATGACATCCTTACCTATCATCATCCGGGTGCGTGTAGGGTTGCGTACGGTTGCGTCAAGGGTAACCTATCATCATACGGTTGCGTGTAGGGCTGCGTAGGGTGTCTATCATCATCCTACGATTGCGAGTAGGGCTGCGTAGGGTGTCTATCATCATCCTACGGTTGCGTGTAGGGCTGCGTATTGCGTGTAGGGTTGAGAAGGGTTAGAAGTAGGGTTAGGGGTAGGGTTAGGGGTTAGGGGTTAGGGTTAGGGGTAGGGGTAGGGTTAGATGTGAAAATTTGGTCGAAATAGTGGCCGACAATCTGATGCTTGTGGGAGTGGCTCCACTGAAATTCTGCCAAAAATGACGCCAATAGCGGTCGGCTGGTGCCCAATCGGTGGCGAATTGTCCGTGTCAGTCGCATCCACCGTCCGTCGACTGTTTGAGTGTGTATGTGACTGTGCGCGATTATAGGGAACTACGGCGTCAGATTTGTCACATCTAACGCTAAACCTAACCCTATCCCTAACCCTAACCATAACCCTAAAAACCGTAACCCTCACCCTACACCTAACCTTAACCCTAACCCTAACCCTACCCCTAACCGCAACCCTAACGCTACCCCTAATCCTAACCCTAACCCATAACCCTAACCCTCACCCTACCCCTAACACCTACCACTAACCACGCAAATTTATCGGTCATTAAAGCATACAGATCGGAAAAAAAAAAAAAAAACAGATCTGGGGGACACACCCAAGCATTGGCAGCCCTGATGTCGACCTCACTGTCTTGTTTGATTCGTGACTCTTTCCGCTACTTGTTTTGAGTGCGGCCATGGAGAGAACTCCCACTAAAGCGACCGAAGCCGTCCAGCTTGCGTCCAAATCTGCTAGGAGAGCCCATATGATCTACAGTTCATTTCAGGGTGGCGCAGTGCTATGAAACAGAAATGTGACCGCGTCAGGCGACATGGTTGGGATTGAATGTTGAATTAAGAATCGTCATCATAGCACTCGAGACACCCCCTTGAGCGCTCCGTCCCCAGCTTCAGCAGCAAACGAAGAGTTCTCTTTCTGATGGCACCAGTAACTGTCTGATTGTATATCCGTCTCGTCCTATCCCTTCAGTGTTGAGCGTCAGCCAGATCCACTAGTAACTAATCGCATAGCCATTCACCTCAGACCGTAATGATCTATTTGCGCTTCCGCACTATTCACTTGCTCCCAGAGGGCACTCATAACGTCTAGCTTGTCATCTATCAATTCACCACAAAGTGGTGCAGAGCCGGTCAGTCTATCTGCCTGTTCATTTCCCAGCACTCCGGCATCACCCGGAGAGAATTTCCAAAGGATGCTAACTACCCAGGACCTCTGAAGTGATGCTTGTCACTCTGCATGGAATATACTTGTCTCCACTTTTCTCAATATGCTCTGTGAGTCAGTCACAATCACGGCATGTGTGTGCAGCTGATTCTCAAGCCAGCGGAAGGCAGCAGAGACTGCCTCCATTCTCAAACTAGACGTTGTGATACCATATGCAAGGTTTTGTTGCACCAAGCGGCATCCACTCATATGCTATCAACCTCCAATGAGACATCATAACTGAGATGGCATAAGATGGGAAATTGAAATACAGTTTGAACTTTTAATCTGCCAGTGCGAAGCTACTAGGGGCGGCATTTTGAAGACTTGCATCATACTGAGAAAATTTACCGCAGGGGCCTGATTCATTTCACTGTCTGTTTCCTGGACCCCATAATGGAGGCTGGGGAGGCGGAAAGGGGGATAGACCCAATGACTGATAGACCGGGAACCTACAGTTTATATATAAATAAATCAGATCTGTAAAACAGATATTCACGCAAAACGCATGGACAAGAGTGAAGTAGGTGAAGAACCAGAACTTTCCCTGGAGCTTACAGCGGTGAAGGCGAAGTAGAAGAATCAACAGTTGAATAGATAATTGATCTATATTTTAGTATAATTAATTTTAAATTTCCACACATATTGTAATCATTTTTCCAGGAAAATTCGTTTCATACTTCAATAGATTTACTATATATACATATATATATATATATATATATATATATATATATATATATATATATATATATATAAGTAAAGTAAAGTAAAGGACCCTTTCCACGCCTTTAGGCGTATGGAGCATATAGGGCTAGACCTATATTTTTATAGACCAACGGCACAAGATGGGTGATGTGGTCAGCATCACGCCGGCTGCCTCTACTTTCCGGGATTGCACCCGGTACCCACTCAAGGCTGGGTCGACCTGGGAGCCAAGGTCATTTTTGAAGAAAAGTCCGTCTCCGCCAGGGAGCGAACCCACTACCTTCCGATCCGCGGCGAGCGTCTAGTCGCTCGGCCACGGCGACTCCCATATATATATATATATATATATATATATATATATATATATATATATATATGTGTGTGTGTGTGTGTGTGTGTGTGTGTATGTGTGTGTGTGTATACATATATATGTACATATATACTTCAATATATATTGATCTATACTTTAATAGATTGTCGTTGGATTTTCCAATAACCTTTTGATAATTATTTCTATTCAGAACCCCCACACTGGGAGCCAGGGGTATGCCCAAATGGCCGACATATTTAGCTAGTGACCCGACAAACATCCTGGTGATTACAGAGGCTGCAGATATCGCAGTTGGCCGTGCAGAAAGCAGACGTTGTACCTACTGGAACAGTTTGCCTGCAGAATACCTGCTTGATTAAGTCTATTTTTAGTAAACGTTGTCGGCAGCACCAGATGGCTGTTGCTTCTTCCTGATATTTCACAGTTTTTGCTTGATTCATTGTCAAAATCTCACTGTTTGATTCATTTCTGGATATCTCACTGTTTGTTGGCTCATTTTTTAATAGCTGTGTTTGTTTGGTAAATTTGTTGATAGCTGTGTTTGTTCGGTTCATATTTTGTTTGGTTTATTTCTGGATAGTTGTGTTTGTTTGGTTTATTTCTTGTTAACTGAGTTTATTTGGTTCATTTCTTGACAGCTGTTTTTGTTTGGTTCATTTCTTGATAGCTGTTTTTGTTTAGTTCATCTCTTGATAGCTGTATTTAGTTAATTTCTAGTAGCTGTGGTTGGTTAATTTCTTGGTAGGTATGTTTGATTCATTTCTTGATAGCTGTGTTTGTTTGGTTTATTTCTTAATAGCTTGGTTTGCTTTGTTCATCTCTTGATAGCCGTGTTTGTTCGCTTTATTTCTTGATACCTGTGTTTGTTTGGTTTAATTCTTATTAGCTGTGTTCAGTTAATTTCTTGATAGCTGTGTTCGTTTGGTTCATTTCTTTGTAGCCATGCTTGTTTAATTTATTTCTTTATAGCTGTGTTTGTTTGGTTCATATTTTGTTTTGTGTTTGTTTTGTTAATTTCTTGATGTCTGCGACTGTTTTGTTCATTTCTTGACATGTATGTTTGTTTTGTTCATTTCGTGATAGCTGGGTTTGTTTGGTTAGTTTCTTCATAGCTGTGTTTGTTTGGTCCATTTCTTGATAGCTGTTTTAGTTAGGCTCTATTCTTGATAAATGTGTCTGTTTTGTTCATTTCTTTGTAGCTGTGTTTCTTTGGTCCTTTTCTTGATCGCAGTTTTTGTTAGGTTCTTTTCTTGATAGCTGTGTCTGTTTGGTTCATTTCTTTATAGCTGTGTCTCGTTGGTCCGTTTCTTGATAGCTGTGTTTCTTAGGTCTATTTCTTGATAGCTGTTTTCTTTAGGTTCTTTTCTTGATATCTGTGTCTGTTTGGTTCATTTCTTTGTAGATGTGTTTGTTTGACTCATTTCTTGATAGCGCTATTTGGTTCATGTCTTGATAGCTGTGTTCGTTTAGTTCATTTCTTTGTAGCTGTGTTTGTTTGGTCTATTTCTTAATAGCTGTGTTTGTTTGGTTTATTTCTGGTCATCTGTGTTTGTTTGGTTCATTTCTTGATAGTTGTTTTTCTTTGGTTCATTTCGTAGCGGTTTCAAGGATTGCCCTATGTTCTAGGTGTGTTATGAGATGTATTTCTTCGCCGTCTGTACTCAGCATGCCGAAAAGTGGCTTGGGTTTGTTCGACGGGGTCGACACACTGTCTCCCAGACGAAAGTAGGCAGATTTCTTTTCTCATTTCTATTTTATTTGAACGACTGTTGTTTCTGCAAAATGTTGTTGTTGTGAGTAGGTCTCAGGCGCTGAAGGTGCCTGTGTGCAAAAAAAAAAAAAAAAAAAAGTACTGCAAGGGTAAGCGATGAAGGCGCAACGGTTTATTAGTATCCAATCATTACGTTATTTGTGTATTTTTACGCCCACTTGCCGTGGCTGTCGTCTGTATTGGATGTGCTTAAAACGTTCAAGACGAGAAACAAATAACACCCCTTGACTATAGGAGTGTCACCAGAAATCCCTAACGAAATCTCGCGACCGAGGAGATGGGGTGAATTTTAGGAGTTGTACCGTCAGGTCATCTATCACTATGAGATACTGTAGGATATACTTTACACACGTATACATACACTTACATACACACACACCCACACAAACTGTTATAATTAAATTGTTATCGAGTGTTGATCTGATAAATCTCTTCCTGTTAGCCACGCCTTGATCATCGTCATCTCTGTCCTTTAATTAGTAAAGGGGTAGGAAAAGAAATTTAAAAAAAAAAAAAGAGAGAGAGAAAAATAGGGCAAGAAAGAGCAAATAGTTCATGTTAGCTTTACAAAATCGATCACAATAAACTAACAAACATCTGTTTCTGGCGAAAAACTTCGTTCAAGAGTTGGGTCACTAATTGCTAGTGGTCACGCCTTGATCATCGTCATTTGAATCTTTTAACA